CAGTTGGCGAAAAAGCCACACACGAAGCCGAAAAAAACACAGGAAATGGACGTCCGAGCGATGGCCAGAGTGGGTACCCGCCGCGGATTCAGGTTAGACTTCGCTATCCGTGGGGGGCTGCGATCCGCGAATCTGTCGCCATTTTCGAGGGCTGCTGGGGGGGGCATGCATAGTGGGCACCCGCTGCGGACTCATATTAGCCCTCGCAATCCTTGGGAGGCTGCGATCTGCGAAACTGTCGCCACTTTCGAGGGCTGCTGGGGGACCAGCATAGTGGGTACCCGCCGCGGATTCAGATTAGACCTCGCCATCCTTGGGAGGCTGCGATCTGCGAAACTGTCATGCTTTCGAGGGCTGCTCGGAGGTCCAGCGGATTGAGGCACCACCCAGAATCAGATTTGACCTCGCCATCCTTGGGGGGCTGCGATCTGCGAATATGTCACACTTTCGAGGGCAGATGGGGTGCCCAGCGGAGTGAAGCACCACCCAGACTCAGATTAGACCCCGCCATCCCTGGGGGGCTGCGATCTGCGAAACTGTCATACTTCTGAGGCCTTCTGGGGGTTTCAGCGGAGCGAGGCACCACCCAGACTCAGATTAGACCTCGCCATCCGTTGGGGGCTGCGATCTGCCCGTGAAAATTGGCCGCCCTCACTCCCTGAAACATTTGGCATACTTAAAATACCCACGGCGTTATGACGAGAGCCACATGTTGAAAAACAACCGCCACCCATCATTGAATCTGTTGCGAATTTCTAGTACGACTGCACGTGGCGACAATGCGAGAACCACATTTTGCAAACGGCCCACCCTGCAACGGCTTGCCTAGGGCCTAAGGGGTTCTTCCGTTGTTATAGGTTGGTGCCTCGGATTCTTACGTTACCCGTTGCTCGGAGGTTTTCCCCGGTTCCTCGGGTTCCCTGGGTTCCTCGCCCTCGGCACTTCCGATTCTTACATTGCCTGTTGCTCGGAGGTTCCCCGGGTTCCTCGGGTTCCCCGGGTTCCTCGCCCCCGATGTTTTCCACGGGTTCCTCGGGTTCCCCAGGTTCCCGAGGTTCTTCGGGTTCCTCAGGTTCATCGAGTTCCCCCAGGTTCCCCAGGTTACCCACGTTCCTCGGGCCCCTCTGGTTCCCCAGGGGACCTCGGGTTCCCCGGCTCCTCCAGTTCCTCGGGTTCCCAGGGTTCCTCGGCTACCTGGTGTTCCCCCCGGTTCTTCGGGTTCCTGGGCTTCCTCGGGTTCCTCGGGTTCCTAGGGTTCCTCGGGTTTCTCGGGCTCCCCATTTCATGCCAAGCAATGTCAAGCAATGCCAAGCGACGCCAAGCACTGCCAAGCAACGCCAAGACATGCCAAGCAATGCCAAGCGATACCAAGGACTGCCCAACAATGCCAAGCAATGCCAAGCATTGCAAAGCAATGCCAAGCGAAGCCACACATTGCCAAGTAATGCCAAGCACTGCGCCCATGCAATAGGAAGCTTTCCCCTAATCGGGGTCGCGCTGGGCTCGTTTGCATGATTTTGACGGCGCTCGCCATCCGTGCGTGAAACCGCGGCAATGTTCAAGTTTCAGGATCACAAGTGGCAAGGAAGTCCCAGACGAAACGCCCAGCCTGCCCTACCTACTCGTCTGGGAGCGCGACAAGGAGGAGTTATCTATAAGGGTAATGGATTTGGGAGGAGGAGAAGGAGGAGGAGGAGGAGGAGGAAGCGGATGATATCTTTGAGTCCTCCACACCGTTGCCCCCACCTCATCATATCCTGAGCGTGCACGGTGGGTACTCCCAGGAGGCTTCAGACCCTGGAGGGTTCCTTCTTTGGTGAGGGCGGCGGCGATATCCATGACCAAGGTTCGATGGGTGGGGTGTTCCACCGGCCTCCAGACCCTGGATTCCTTTTTATGGCTTCCTTGTCTAATCCACTCACCGTACCTCCACCTCCTCATCCACTGAGCCTGCCCATCCACCCTCCTCAACCCTGTGGCCAAACGGCGAGGCGGAGGCGGAGGAGGAGAAGGAGGAGGACCATTGTAAACCCAGCGATGTTTAGATACATCCTCCCTCCCACATTTTTTTGTTTCAAAAAATAGGCCTTACAAGCGGTCATTTCCACAGGGAATTGCCCGGTTGGGGGACAACCGTGTGAATATGTTGAAGAGTAACAAAACACCGGTCTCATGATTTCAACGCCACGGGTTAACTTTATTGCCACGTCTTGGCGATCCTAAATTGTGCAAGAACATTATCTTTGTAAATTCGGCGCCGAGAATTAACGTAACCGTTGCGCCTGGACATTCCTGAGTCACCCCGCAGCACCATATCTGATACGCTAACCATGGGAATCCGTGAAACTTCTGCAAAAGTCTTAAACGAAAGCGCGCGGCGCTAAGGCGATACCAGCATTCTGAACAGGAGCCGCTTCCAATCAGCGAAACTCTGGTGTTGTTTTGAAGGAATGCTCGCGGCGCTGAGGCGAGAACCACATTTTGCAAACGGCCCGCCATCAATCCGTGAAGCTCCTGCATTCTATTTAAACGAATGCGCGCGGCGCTTAAGCGAGAGCCACATGTTGAAAACGAGCCGCCCTCAGTCAGTGAAACGTTTGCAAACGTTGAATGCACTTGCGCGCGGCGCTAAGGCGAGAGCCACATGTTGAAATCCACCCGCCCTCAATCTGCGAAACTGTTGTTGTTCTTGTTGCAACGAATCCGCGCGGCGCTAAAGCGAGAGGCACGTTTTGAAGACCACCCGCCCTCAATCCGTCAAGCTCTTTCAATTGTTGAAACGAATGTGCACGGCGCTGAGGCTAGGGCCTAATTTCCAAAACCACCTTTCAATCCGTGACGCTCTCTCAAATGTTTAGAACTGTGCGCGGCGCCTGGGCGAGAGCCACATTTTGAAATCCACCCGCCCTCAATCCGTGAAGCTCTTGCAGATGTTAGAAAGATCCTCGCGGCGCTAAGCCGAAAGCCTCGTTTGGAAAACCACCTGCCCTCCATCAGTGAAACGCGCAAATATCAAAGCATCAGGAACATAAGCGGTGAGGAAGACTCAGGCGAAACGCTTGGCACGCCCTTTCGACTGGCCTTGGGGTGCGTCAGGGAAGAGTTACCTATAAGGAAAACAGTGGAGGACCTCCCCTGTGGCCCGTCGGCGAGGCTGTGGAGGAGGATGTGGAGGAGGAGGAAGTGTAAGAGGAAGGCGCGTTCCGAGCTGCTAGGCAGCCTCTGGTGGCAGATACGCAGAACCCTCCTAAGGGGTACTGCCGAGATGCTGTTGAGCGCACTCGGGCGCTAGGCGAGCAATCCCCCGCCTCCGCTTGGTCCACCGCGACCGCCGCCAGCGCAGTGACCACCACAAACGGCCGCGACCACAACCACGAACCCAGACCACTTCGACCGCCACCAGCAAGACAACCATTGCCGCCACCATCAACACCACGACGACGACTCTGAACACGACGACTCTCAATAATCATCACCGACGCCACGACCACGACCAGCGCTGGCACGTTCACCACTGCGACCACCGCCGACCAGCACTACGACCACGACCACGGCCAGCACGACGGCGCCATGACCACCACCACCACTGCCACGATCACCGCCGACCCGACCTCTCCCGCCCCGGACCGCCCCTCTCATTTCCTCTGCCTGTGCCTGCCGGGCAGCCCTTGCTGGCGCACGCGCCTTGCGTTTCGCCTCCTCATTCTTCCTCGCCCCTCCCTTTCTTCTGCATGTCCCTTGCATAATTCAGTGAATTAGTAGAATTTACACCTAGAGGCGCAAAGCCACTGGACCAGTTCTTCAAGGACAGTGTTCGGTAGGAAGCGTTTTTTTAATTAGGGACCCGGGGCCAGAACCCCAACGCCCGGGGGTCCTCCTAGGTTACCGGGGTGGGGACCCCATTCGGGTGCCCCCTGGCCTTTTTCAGAGGAGCAGGAGGAGGAGGGGAAGGGGGAGGAGGAGGAGGAGGAGGAGGAGGAGGAGGAGGAGGAGGAGGAGGAGAAGGAGGAGGAGGAGGAGGAGGAGGATAAGGAGGAGGAGGAGGAGGAGGAGGAGGAGGTGGAAGAGGCGGATGGGCAGGAGGAGGAAGAAGCGTTGGAGGAGGAGAAGAAGGAGGAGGAGGATGACCAGTGCAAACCTAAGACGCATCAGTGATGTTGCAGTGAGACCTCCATCCAAGCTCCCTCCTCACAGGGCCCAACATGAATCTTGCTTCATTGCGGGTTATGCCCATCGGAATGCAAACATCTGAAATTCCTTAATCGCTCCAGCACGCAATTCCTGGGATTTCAGCGTCGCGAGTCAACGTGGGTACTGCGCCTGGACGGTCCCAAGCCGAGCCATAACTCCATTCCTGGGGCTACAACACCGCGAATCAACATGGTAGTTGTGTTTTGGCATTAATAAATGTTGCCAGAGCACCATGCCTGGGACTTCGACCATGCGAGCACAAGCAACTGCTACAAACATTCAAAACATATGATCGCGGGGCTAGGCCGAGAGGCACAGTTTGAACCAAGCGCCCGTCATCCCTGAAATTGTTGCACAATTATACGACGAATGCGCACGGCGCGAAGGCGAGAACCACATTCGCAGAACCGTCCGTCCTCCTTGCGTGAAAGTGCTGTAATTGTTTAAGAACGCTGTGCGCGGCGCGCAGGCGATATCCACACATGTTCAAAATGAATACGCGCGGCGCCAAGGTGCAAACCTCATTTTGCAACTGTTTCAGATTACAGTTTCACCATCAGTGGTGAAGAAGTCTCAGGCGAAACGCCTGGCCCGACGACCGACACACCAGGGGGGGGGGCGACAGGGTGGAATTATTTACCAGGCGAAGGGACGGAGGAGGATTGCGAGGAGGAGGAGGAGGAGGAGGAGGAGCAGGAGGAGGAGGAGGAGGAGGAGAATGAGGGGTTGGAGGAGAAGGAACGAGACGACGACGAGGATGACGAGGATAAGGCGGAGGATGAGGAGTCCCCCTGTGGCCACTCGGCGAGGCGGCCCTGCAGCGCCGCGCCCGGCGCGGCCGCGGGCGCGGCGGGCTACGGCCGCCCGGCCTCGAGGTCCTCGGCGCAAGCGTTGCGGGCGGCCACGCCCGAACCCGCGATAGCGCAGCAGCCGTGCGAGGCGGTGCCGCAGTCTGGGCTCTACTCCTGGAGGACCGTCGGGCATTGATCGGCAGCGCGCACGAGGGGAGGGGAGGAGGGGGATGGGGAAGGAGGGGGAGAGGGAGGAGGAGGAGGACGAAGAGGACGAGGAGGAGGAGGGGAGGAGGAGAAGGAGGAGGAGGAGGAGGAGGAGGAGTACGAGTACGAGTACGAGGTACGAGGACGAGGACGAGGACGAGGACGAGGACGGGACGAGGACGACGAGGGACGAGGACAAGGACGAGGAGGGGGAAAAGGAGGAGGAGGAGGAGGAGGGAGGAGGAGGAGGAGGGGGAGGAGGAGGAGGAGGAGGAGGAGGAGGAGGAGGAGGATGAGGACGAGGAGGAGGAGGGAGGAGGAGTACGAGGACGAGGACGAAGAGGGGGAAAAGGAGGAGGAGGACAAGGAGGAGGATGGAGAGAAGGGAGATGGGAAGGAGCAGGCGTACAGGAGGAGGCGTAGGGGGAGGAGAAAGAGGAGGAGGCGGAGGAGGCGGAAAAAGCGTAGAACGAGGGAGGGGATGGAGAGGAGGGAGAGGGGGAGGAGGAGGAGGCGCAGGATGAGGAGGAGAAGGAGGTAGAAGCGTAGGACGAGGGAAAGGAGGGAGCGGGGGAGGAGGAGGCGTATATTGAGGACGAGGAGGAGGAGCTGGAGGGGAGGAGGAGGAGGAGGAGGAGGAGGAGATGAAAAGAGGACAAGGATGGGGAGGATGAGGGGGAGGATGAGGACCAAGACTCATCAACGATGTTGGAATAGACCCTCCCCCAAGCTCCCTCTTCACAGGTCCTTACAAGGGCTCATTCCCACTGAGGGAAATGCCTCGTGTGGACACAAGCGTTTTGGAGATCCTGCAGCGTGGCCAAAACCATTCTCGGAACCTCAACGCCACGAATCAATGTGACGGATGCGTTTTGACGATTCTGAATTGTGCCAGGACTTCACACCTGGGACTTCAACACCACGAGTTAACGTAACTTTTGCGCTCTGACAGTCCTGCGTCGCTTCAAAACGCCACATCTGGCATGCTAACTATGGGAAGCCGTGAAACCCTTACACTGTGTTCCGACAAATGCGGACGGCGCCAATGCGAGAGCCAAAGTTTGGACAGGAACGCCTTCAACCCGTGAAGCTATTGCAATTGTTTAATACGAGTGTGGGCGGCGTTGATGCAAGAGCCGCATGTTGAAAACGACCCGCCCTCAACCCGCGAACATCTTGCAATTGTTTAAGACGAATGTGTGCGGCGCCAATGCCAATGCGAGAGCCACATTTTGAAAACGAGCCGCCCTCGATTTGTAAACCTCGGGCAAACCTCGAACATGCAAGTGCATGCGAGATCCACATTTTGGAAGCGACCCGCCCTGAATTTTTCAGATCATCGTCAACCTTTAAGCTTCAGGATCCTAGATGGTAAGGAAGTCTCAGGCGATGCGCCCAGCCCGCTATTCCGATTGGCTTCGGGATGCCACAGGGAGGAGTTATTTACCAAGGAAAAGATTAGAGGACGAGGAGGACGAGGAGGAGCAGGAGAAGGAGGAGGAGGAGGAGGAGGAGGAGGTGGAGGAGGAGGGGAGGGGTCTTCTGAGAAGGCGGGGGCTCATGAGAAGGCAGAGGGTTTCTCAGGACCACCCGCGAGCTTCTACAAGAAGCCTTCTTGAAAGGCACTTGGCTCTTCTCAGAAGCCCCCTGCCTTCTTAAAAGCCCCCGTGCCGGGTCCTTCTACAGGGGGGAAATTCAAAAATAGTCAAAAAATAGTCTGGGGACGATTTGTTTTACCATTCTTGATGTTTTGACTATTTTTATATGTCGTCCAAAATCCCCTTGTAAGGGGACAGGCCCGACCTAGATCTTGGCCTTTGGGCCCCGCCGTTTGGCACCTGGACCATGCAGCAGAGATCTGGGACGGGGCGGGAGCTGGCGTTCTGGCCCTACTCCTGGAGGACCGTCGGGCATTGAGAGAACGCTCACCCAGACAAGCCGATTGAGTCGAAAGACAAACATCAGGAGGGAAAGAAACACACAGACACAAGTAATCGTCGATTCCCCAGAAAATATGGAGAATATGGGAAGTGGGGGGGAAGACAGAAACGCAGAAAATATGGGAAACTATGGGGCATAGTTTTATTGGTGTGTATTTATTTGCGTGTCCTGGGGCCTTTTTATATATATATATATATATATATATATAGATATGTATATATATATATATATGTATATGTGTGTGTTTTTTTAATAGAAAATTAGCCTGGCGAAGGACCCAACCATATGCAGTTGTGAGTAATGCTGGTGTGAGTACCGTCTTCGGTTGATCTACCTATGGGGCCACGAACCGTTTGAGGGGTGTGCCGAAATGGGTGTGGGGGCGGCATGCGAACCAGGCCACTGGGGCCTTCGGTGGAGCTCCTTATGGGGCCACGAAACGTGTGAGGGGTGCACCGAAGTTGGTGTGGGGGCGGCATGCGAACCAGGCCACTGGGGCCTTCGGTGGAGCTCCCTGTGGGGCCACGAAACGTGTGAGGGGTGTGCCGAAATTGGTGGTGGGGGCGGCATGCGAACGCAGCCACTGGGGCCTTCGGTGGAGCTCCCTATGGTGCCACGAAACGTGTGAGGGGTGTGCCGAAATGGGTGTGGGGGCGCATGCGAACCCAGTCACTGGGGCCTTCAGTGGAAATCCCCATGGGGCCACGAAACGTGTGAGGGATGTGCCGAAATGGGTGTTGGGGAGGCATACGAACCAGGCCACTGGGGCCTTCGGTGGAGCTCCCTATGGGGCCACGAAACGTGTGAGGGGTGTGCCGAAATGGGTGGTGGGGAGGCATGCGGACCCTGCCACTGGGGCCTTCGGTGGAGCTCCCTATGGGGCCACGAAACGTGTGAGCGGTGTGCCGAAATGGGTGGTCGGGAGGCATGCGGACCCTGCCACTGGGGCCTTCGGTGGAGCTCCCTATGGGGCCACGAACCGTGTGAGGGGTG